AAAGAGTCTTCATGACAAAAATCCTCCTTCAGAGTGGTCCGTGTGAGTGTGTTGTGGGGAAGCCTGTTTGTGCTTCTGTCACAGCCTGCCAGGGATTGCTGCAATTCCTGATCACCTGAGTCCAGCCAGAATTACAGCTGGCTCAGTGAGGAGGGAGAACATCTTGGTGTCCAGGCTGAGGTTCTAATTTGAGACTGCAGAGTAACAGTAACTATTTTGTCAGCATGTCCTTATATTGTGTGCCTCAACATTGATGTATAGCACAGTTAAAATTATTTTTGTTTTGAAAATCCAGTTCATTGCAAGTATAATGTAGTATCTGCCAGTTCTGATGGTTCTTTCTTTCTCTCCCAGAGGTAGGACTAAACTTTGACTTGACTTGTGTATATGAACAAGCCAGAAAAGCCGAACACAAACCCACGATGTTTCAAGAGTGCATGAATAAAGATGTTGTCCTAGTTCTTGCTCCCATGGAAAAATTGTGAAGAAGCTGTTCTGTGGGCCTTTCAGTTGGGGACGAGTTAGCAGGATGTGGCCAAAAGGGCAGGGAATGTTTATGCATTCATGCAAGTCAAGCCACAGCCCATCTAGATAACATCTCCCTTCCTTGGTGCAGGAATCCCAGTCCTGCTCTAAAAAAAAATCAAAGCAGGAGCCTGTCTTGGTGCAGCTCCCTGCAGGTTATGCACAGCTGGAATGCAAGAACATAAATGCAGGCTACAAAAGATCATGTATAGGCATCTTTCTTTTGGAGTCTCAAGAACGGTGGGGATTATGTTTTTTTTTTTTCTCCTGTGGTAAAACTAGATTTTGTCATTCCTGCAAAAGTTGTAGAATTGAAGTAGTGTGTAAAAATAATAATTCTGCTGAAAGTAATGGCTGTGCTCCAAAGTATCTGGTTTATCTCAGCAGTAACAGAAGGCTCTATTGGAACTTCTTTTTCACCAATAGTCCATGCACCCAACTGGTAATTAAAAATTTAGTGGTTAAGTAGCTGGGTGTTTAAATTAGGGACTATAATAGACTGGTCTCTGAAAGCTCATTGTTATCCTTTCTATGTCTTTTAAAGATGTTTAAATGTACAGTATAATGGCTTTATTCAAAGTGGAAATTTTCAATTTAAATGTTATTTTGAGCTCTCTTCTTGGAAAGAGCCTCTTTTTTCTTTTTTTTATTCCTTACTGTTCAGTCTGGGGTAACAGCTTGAAATATGTTCAGAGAAGGGCAATTGGACAAATCTGCATCGCAGCACTGCTACTTGATTTTTTGGCAGGGATGTTGCAGATGAACATTTTGAAGTACAAAGGGATAAATTTACACCTTTTTAGGACATAATCGCCCATTAACAATTGCTGGTTTTCTCCATTTATCTTGTAACTTGCTTAAAAAGTCTGTAGTCCATTGCTATAATTGTCTAAAGATGCTCTTACTGATGAGACTATGATAGGAAGGGAAGACTCTGTACCCTGTAGTGTGTTTGATCAAAAGATGCTAATGTTTTATTCATCCACATCCTTTCTTCTTGAGTTTTGTGTTCCATCTGTGCGAATAACCCTGTGAATTGGGAATAAAATGTACAAGTTTTGACTATAACTTGAGAGCACCTTCTGACTTAATTAATTCAGCTGCAGTCTGGTGGAGATGGATCATGGAGCACTGAAATATCGAGGGAAGTTCCCCCTAGCACTGAGCCAGCCTGGCAGAGGTAGCAGGCAGCCCCAGGGCAGGTGGAAGCCAAGATTAGGCTGCACTCCCTGGGAGCAGCTTATCCCAAGTCTGGTGTTCCAGGGCAGAGCCCAACTGCCCTTTGGCAGGCCTGGTTTGGGCTTTGTGAGTTCACTTCCAAGCCCTGTGTTCACAGAGCAGTGAGGAGGCAGCAAGGAGAGCTCTGTGGGTCAGGAAACATCCTTCATTGGCAATTCCAGCTCCTCCTGACACTCAGCCTCACACAGAGCACGGGCCAGGGTGGGTCTCGGGTTGCTGATCCTCACCAGATAAAAGGAAACTAGTTTCTTGGCAGTTAAGGATACAGAAGGGGGGAGCATTTAAATACATTCATCAGTAGTCTGAAGTGTCACAACTCCTTGAGCTGCCAAAATGATCTCATCCCACTTTTCCATGACCACCTCAAAATAAACAGATGCTTTTAGGGGGTGAAAATTTTAGTTTATTTAAAATTTTGTTGTTTCCAATTTGTAGGTACACCATTAGTAACTGACAATTTGCAGTCGAGGATACAGTTTTAACTGGGATACAGCTCACACACTGGTCAAGGTCCAGGTCACCAAGACTTTGTAAGTTTCAATACTGCCAATTAATCTTGATTTACAAGCATAGATTTGTAAACATTCAACCAGCTGCCAATGCATTTTGAATGCACAGAAAGACACGTCCAAGAATATTTCACAATCTGCAGAACTCTCTTTCAACTTAAAGCACTTTAGTCATTACTGCATTTTGAAATCGCCTCAGATTCTGTTCTCACAGCTCAGCTGTTTCCATTACAGAATCAACTGATCTGGGACAGAACTGAGAGCTGCCCTGTCCCCACTTTGAAGTTGACATTGGGACAGTACAATGTTGTAGCAATTTTTTAGAAACATTGTTAAAATACTTCAGTTTCATCAAGCACCCAATCTAAGCCATTTGCATTTCTTGGGAAACATGGCTTTTTGAACACCTTAGTGTTTTTCCATCATTTAATACACACCTCTCCTAGACATTCAGAACATCTTCAACTTGAGCAGCTTTTTTTTTAGTTTTTTTTTATTTTATTAAAAAAAAATCTAAATAAGCCTCTTTTGCACTGAGTTTACTTTAAAATGAGCTCACAACCAAGTAAAATGTGCATATTCATTGTATGTGAAGTGCAAGGGCACAGCCACAAATGTCTTTTTTTTTTAACAAAATATCTTTTTTAAATTAGGCCACGTGCTCAGCATGGCCATCTTACATTCAGCAGTTTTGTACTAAAAATATGTCTGTGCAGGAAAGCCCAGCATCAATTTACATATGCTACAAAGTTTTACATTTATTTACATGGCTCTGTCTTCCCTATGACAACATTTGAATACTTGCCACAAGCTACTGTAACTTCAAACCATCATTCCAGGGTAACCAATTTAAGACCAGCCTAAGGAACTACTCCACCTTTTTCACCACTTGATACAAAAATGTACTTTAGAGGTCAGGAGTGCAATGGGAAAGGATTTTTTTTTTCTTTTTTAGTTTTTCTGGCAGTCATCTGGCACTGCAGTGTCACCAGTTGGCACAGTCTGACCTGTGGGGATTCCAAGGAAGCTGAGCTGGAGAAGAGGCAGTTGCAGATGATCCTGATGTTTCCTTCCAGCTTTTCCAGAACATGCACCATTATGTCTTAGATCAATTTTAAGTCACAGGCTTGAAATGTTTGTCCCCCAAACCCAAAGTGCCAGATAAAGCTCACAGGTACAAACACATGAACAACCTGATTTACCTGGTGCCAAGGGGGAACTGCAGAGTTCTGACTTAACTGGCAAATATTATGCAAGTTTGGAAAGCAGCAAAGTACCTGACAGAAGCTTCCAGTGCGTTGGTTTGGGGTTCTTTTCCAGCCAATGCTGGGGGAAGTCGGGTAGAAGCTGGTTTGCTAATGCCATTACCAGGTAAGAATCACAACTGTGGGAGACAGTCCCATGTACAAGACAATAATGGTGACTGCTCTGGATTTGTTTAGATGATTATAGAGAAAATACCTATTTCACAGTGAACACAGCACACAACTTTTGAGGTAAAACATGAGGGGAGTGTCAACTTTCACCCCCTTCTCTTCCAAGTAACTAACTACATGCAGCAAGAACATCTAGTTCTGTACACCTGTGCAGCTGGAGTGAGGAACAATTCTCAAATTTGAAACCCCGTCAATTTAAGTAACTTTCAAACCAGAAAAAGTTACATCTCAAGCCTGAACTTTAAGTAATGTTTTAAGCTGAAATGTCATTATTTCTTTATCAGAAGGTTTAAAAGAAACAGGTACCCAGTGACTTGGTGGCTTAGGAAGAACACTTGGTGAGGGTGGCTCACTGAATTTTGCTCCAGCATAGTTCTGGTTGGTTTGAGGTGTGAAAAACAGGTTGTGATTCGCTAAAGCAGGACTCCAATTTTGATTATTGGGGAAATGAACGTTGCTCTTTCCCCCTTTCTGCATGGCCTGCCATGCACCAGATGATGAGTTGCATCCATGTCCTCTTTCTTTCTTCATGTAGGTCTTCATCTGTGAATTCTGGTCTTTATTCTTCTGTCTGTTTTTAAGTTGTTGATGGTTCTTGGTGGTATTTCTAGACTGGGGAACTGGAATGTTGAATCTTTCTCCACCACCCATCTTCAACTTTAATGTCACCTGTAAAAACAGAAAAAGTCAGTGGAGATTGCACATTATTTTTATTTTTTTTTAAGAGGAAATATTTCAGAGAATTTTCAAAGTTTTAAGCAAGAGGACAGAAATCAACCTAAACAAACCTTACATAGATTGAAAGTGTTTTCTCTCCTTTACTGGACACCACTTCAATAACTAAGAATGTAGCTGACACTCTCATGAGAATGGAATTATCTTTTGAGGAGGAGATTATTGACTCTGCAATGGCTTAACAATTCTGCTCATTGCTGACCACCCCCAATCCAGCCGTCAGGATCAGCAGCCCACTCCCCTATGCTTTCTCCACCTAGTTAGGAAAACACTGGTTACCCAGGCAACCCAACTTCTAAATACAACATTTCTTTTCTCAGTCAATAATGATGTTACTGGAAGAATATGAAAGACGAGTTGCTCACAAAATACAGTGCTAAGTTTAAGATGTTAGTATTTCATCCTGAAAAAGCCAGGCTTGTTACAAGATCTGGGCAGTTTGCACTGATAAAGCCACTCCCCAGTCTTTCTGATAAGTCCAAGAATTACTCTGATAAACCCAAAGTGAACTGAAAACAACCTCAAATGGAACGTTTATAACTGAACTTCCAAAGCAGAGAGCCAGACACCATCACGCAGAACTTGGCACCTTTGTGCTGACTCCCACAGAACACTATTCCTCCCCCACCCATTTACCTTTCAGTTGTCTTCTCAGATTCCACACTCTCCAACTCTTGCCCCCTTTCTTGCTTCCAAGCCTGAAAGAGTAGGTGCTGCCTTTTGCTGGACTCCTTCCTTTGGCTAGGAATAGAAGTTTTCATGGGCTGATCTGCTGTATCCAGCCAGGTAGCCGAGCCCAACATCAGATTCTCGGCACAGAAACTCCAAGGGAGAAGTCCCAGCTGCAGAAATGAGAATCAAGTTTGAATTCAGATTAAGGTTGCAATTGTTTCCCTTTCAAATTTGGTCAGCAGCCCACTCCCCTATGCTTTCTCCACCTAGTTAGGAAAACACTGGTTACCCAGGCAACCCAACTTCTAAATACAACATTTCTCTTCTCAGTCAATAATGATGTTACTGGAAGAATATGAAAGACGAGTTGCTCACAAAATACAGTGCTAAGTTTAAGATGTTAGTATTTCATCCTGAAAAAGCCAGGCTTGTTACAAGATCTGGGCAGTTTGCACTGATAAAGCCACTCCCCAGTCTTTCTGATAAGTCCAAGAATTACTCTGATAAACCCAAAGTGAACTGAAAACAACCTCAAATGGAACGTTTATAACTGAACTTCCAAAGCAGAGAGCCAGACACCATCACGCAGAACTTGGCACCTTTGTGCTGACTCCCACAGAACACTATTCCTCCCCCACCCATTTACCTTTCAGTTGTCTTCTCAGATTCCACACTCTCCAACTCTTGCCCCCTTTCTTGCTTCCAAGCCTGAAAGAGTAGGTGCTGCCTTTTGCTGGACTCCTTCCTTTGGCTAGGAATAGAAGTTTTCATGGGCTGATCTGCTGTATCCAGCCAGGTAGCCGAGCCCAACATCAGATTCTCGGCACAGAAACTCCAAGGGAGAAGTCCCAGCTGCAGAAATGAGAATCAAGTTTGAATTCAGATTAAGGTTGCAATTGTTTCCCTTTCAAATTTGGAAAGAAAAAAAAAAAAAGGCGCCTGAAATAACCGAGAATTCATAAAAGTCGGGTGTGCCTCTTTATTTGTTAAAGTTAACAATATAATTCGAAGTTTAAAAAGCACTTCAAAAAACAAAAGACATATAAATTCACTGTCATACTCAGCGTTTCACAAATATTAGTATTTTTATCATGATCTTAAGAAGTTTCACAGCCAATAACGTTGCCATTTTACAGGGAAAATTGTCAAATACAATGGAAAATATTTGGGACGAACTCTTGGGGAACTAGCGCTTCACTGCATCTCTCTGAGGCACAAAGAAACCCTCCCTGGACACTCCCCGCCTCGCTCTGTGGGAGCAGGACAGAAAAGCACCGCCCGGAATTAACTGCCCATAGAAAGTGACCCCAAGTGTCCCAACATGAGACCCACGGCGCCCCCAGACCCTCCTCCAGCCGTTCAAAAACAGCTCCAGTTCTAATGTCAGCTGTTTTTATTTTTTCCCACCTTCGTTAGAGCAAAGTCATTCCCCCTTAACTCTTACAACAATTTCCTATTTAACCCACGGCTCA